CTGGTTTCTTTTGTCATTTATTTCCAGTTTCATTGCACTGTGGTCAGATAATGTGCATGGGATGCCATTAATTCTTCACCTAATGGTTTTAGCAACTTCTAATGAGTCTTGGCTAAATCCATTATTTCTCTAGGTGCCACAAAATTCTAATTTTTAAAAAGTCTTGCCTTTTATTAGCTGAATTATTTTATTTTATTAGTACAAGTTTGCAGTTGATGCAGTTTGAAATTATCTTGCGGAGAGGTTACATATATATAACACAGCTTGTTTTATTTTTATTTTTTAATCCCCTTCTTCCTCCCTCCCCTTAAATTCCCCTATCCCATTTTGTAATTCTTGTTGAATCAGTTTGTTATGGCATATGTTTTTTTTTTTTTTTGGGGGGGGGCATATGTTTGCATTAATTAAAGTCATTAGTTCCTGTACATGGGTTATCTTTATTCTACTTGTTTCCTCTTTCCCTCCTCATCCCTTGTGCTTTTTTTCCTTGAATCATATACCTAATGCAAGAGATCCGTGTCTTTGTCCCCTCCTGTCCATTGTTTATTATTCTATTTATACTTTGTCTCACTCAGATGAGGAATACCATATGGTATTTAATCTTGTGTTTCTGGTTTATTTCACTCAGCATTATATTCATTTTTTTACAGAGGTCTCAGCTTTGTCATTCTTTATAGTAAAGTATTATTCCATCATACATAGATACCACATTTTCTTTTTTCTTTTTTTGGGCCGCTCAGGATGCCTTCAGGGCAGGTCTGGCTTGAGGATGAGGGGATCCGAACCACAGCATCCTGAGCCTGACTGCTTTGTTTCAGCAGGCACTTAAACACCTGAGCTAATGGGCAGGCCCCCAGATACCACATTTTCTACAGTCATCTGCTGATAGTGATACAGACCGTTTCTGCAGTTTAGCTACTATGAGTTATGCTGCTATAAACATTGGTATGCACATATCACTGTAGGATGGTGTCTTAAGCTCTTTGGGGACGATATCTAGCAGGGGGATCACTGAGTCATATAAAGTTTCTAATTTAAATTCTTGGAGAAATCTCCATACTGATTTCCATAGTGGTTGTACTAGTTTACATTTCCACCAACAGTGGCACGGTGCCTGCCTGGCAAGCATGAGGTCCTGAGTTTGATTCCTGGTATCACCTCCCCCCC